GCTCTTGCCCGCAGAATTTCAAGAACAGGCACGTGCTCTGGGGCGTCAGATCGAAAGCCGAGGCTGGTTCTCACGGCCCGGCGGGCGGGCGGGCGGGTGGGGCAGCCCTGGACGCTCAGGTCCCCACCTGGGGAGCGTGTCTGGAGCTCAGATGCCCCGGTGGAGGGAAGGTGGCCGGTCCCCAAAGGCCCGGGAGCTTCCCAGACTGTGCGGGGCCCTTTCTGTGGGAGTTTGGGAGACGCGTACTGAGACGTAGGCTCGGGGTTTCAGTGGTGCCCGGGGGCGGGCGAAACGAGTCCAGGTGGGCACAGGTTGTGACCGAGGCCGGCGCTGGGCAGCGGGCGTTTCCTTACACTCATCGCTATTTTGTACGTGTCTGAAATGTTTCGTCAGCCAAAGGCAAAGCAGCCAGGGCTTCTGGGTTCGGCGTGGCTTCGCTCGTCTCCGAGCCTGTGAACAGTGTGGTCGTCGGGGGAGCTGACAAAGGAAAGCCCTTGGGTTTCGGCCTGCCGTGGCCAGGTCTTCTCTAGCCTGGGCCAGTCTCTGGACGCCCCTAGCTCTGGGGGACACAGTTCCACATCAGAGTGCGCGGAGAGGGCTAGCCGCAGCGGGCAGGTGTGGGGGCCGGCAGCTGGCTCGTCCTGGGGCTTTGGCAGGACGGAGCAGTCTAAGGAGAAACTCAGAGGAATTATGTAGCCGCTAAGGATGATCACGTAAAGCCAGAGAAAGGACCTTTGGCGCGCCACGCAGGCTGTGACCCGTTGTGACTGCAGCCTCAGCTGTGAGGGCGGGCGGAGCGCAGCCGTGGCCGGGCAGGCGGGAGGGAGCAGGGCGCTTCGGGCTCCGGGTAGCGCCGTCATTTTCTTCAGTTGAAAATTGCCGGGCCCCCCCCTCGAGACAGCGGGTTCGGACACGGCGCGGCGAGCCGGCCCAGCAGTTTCGGTGCGAGTTGCCTCCCCGGCCCTGAGGTGACCCCAGGGCGCGGCAGACCCCTCCCGACGCGCCCGCTGTTCCCTCAGCAGTGTCCTTCCTCCACCCGCCTGTTCTGCCCCCCACTCTGTCTGGGGGGTCCTCTCACCCCCGCACCTCTGGCCTGCACCCCAGTTCTGTGTGCATAAATAAATGAATCTTAAAGGAAAATTGCCTGAGTACACACGCAGGGATGTTCACAGCCCTTGCGAGACTGTCTCACCTGGCACCAGGGACGTGTGGAGCGTGAGTGAATTCATGCCCGAAACAGGCTGATCAAAGCCCAGAAAGCACCAGAAACCTGCAGGCTTTGAGCAAGGAGGAGACTGAAACCAGGACTCCGCCTGAGCCGTCTCAGACTCCCACTTCTCTGTTCCAGGTCCAGTTCCAGAAGCTGCAGCAGCTACGCCTCCCGCCGTGCCACGGGGGGTCCCTGCCCAACGTGAGCCAGCTCCGCAGTGGCGCGCCCGAGTTCCAGGTACCCGGGCCGCTCTTCTGGCGGGGCGGGTGCGAGGCGCAGGCGGGCGGCCGGAGTTTTGGGGCCTTCGGGGTGTGGCACTCGGGGCGTCCAAGGGCGCGGTCGAGGCGGCTCGCGGGTCCTCCCGGCTCTCCGGTGGCCTGGTCCCTGGAGGAGACAGGAGTCACCGTTGATGTTACTTGAGTGGGAAAGTGATCACTTGACCTAAATGCTACTGCCCCTTCGGCACATCACGACGTGAGAAACTCCGGGCACGGTTCGCTTTTGTCTTCCTGCTGTCCGAACAGGGGGGTGTTTTGCACCGACAGCGCGTCTGGGCGGCTCTCGCCCGGCCCATCGCCCCCCGCCAGCGCCCCGTGCTGCGGCCAGGCGGCGCCGCGTGCGGGAGGTGCGGGCGGGGGCTCGCTCTTCCCCCCGGTTCTTGGCCCTTCCTCAGCCTGTGCGACTGGTGTTCCAGGCCTGGGCGGGCGCCTTGGCCCCAGCTAGACTCCGAGGCTGCCCGCGCGCTGGAGCACCTGAGGTGGGGTCGGGACCCAGACTTTCCGAGGGCGAACACTTGACCCCCTCGGCCGCTCCCCCAAAAGTGCCGTCCTCGCTCCTCATTGTGAAGGCCGGTCCTCGTGGTCAGGGTGTCCAGCAAAGCGCTGCTGCAGCGGGCACCTGAGGTGCCGGGGTGGCGGGTGCCGC